CAGGAGCCGAAGGGGCGAGTCCCACTTCCAAAGAGGGCGGATGGGTGAAGTGGACAGCAGAGCACAACCCAGGATCCGAGCTCCTGAGGCAGGACGCCTAGGGGGCCGGGGAAGGAGGCACTGGGGAGGTGGGAGGCAGGTGGAGCAGGACAGACTAGAGCCAGACAAGAGGTACAGGTCACAGCCCTCGCAGAGCCCAGCACAGAATCTTCCCTGGGGCTGCCATATTGAGACCGCCCGACACAGACAACCCTCCCCACCTCCCTTAGCTCATGGCCCTCGGGCCTGCTGCTAGAATTCTTACTTCCCACATCTCATGTCCTAACACCACCTTCCGAACGTCCCCACTCTCCCTCTTCTGTGTCTGGGGCCTCCTCTGGCCACCAAGATCACAATTCCCTCTGCCAGAGAGCCAGAAGGAGTGGGAGCAGTGGCTAGCATTGGCAAGGATCACTAGAACTTCCGGTGGGAGCAGGTCTGCAGGAAGAGGAAGTCAGGAGGGGCTGAGATGCCTGCCCCGGGGCAAGAACAAGTGACTGTCCTAGGGAGCTGGCTTTGAAACTTACTCCTGGCAGGAGGGAGCTGGTGGGTATGCCTGAAGGTGAGGGGCCGTGGGCATAGGAGCAGTCAGTCAGCTCTTCTGTTCTCATGACAACAGGCCCCTGTTGGGCCCCTGCTGATGAGGAGCCCCCTGACTTCAGGAATCCAGGACTGAGGTGGGCACAGGGCCAAGCAGAGCAACCCTGCCCTGCCTGCCCTCAGGAGCTCTTGGGCAGTGCCCAGGCTACCAGTCTGCCAGCCCTGGAACAGCAGCCATGTCCTTGCTGCCTTCCAGGAAAGTCAGGAATGAGGCTACAGCAGCTGGCCCCACCCCCAAGCCGCTCAAAGCAGGCCCTGCACAGGGCCTCAGCCTCTAGCCAAGAGGCCCCAGAAGGAGGCCGTGACCTCCATACTATGGGAAAAACTGGGCCTGCACACTCCTCCTGAAGCAGGCCTAGAGCCCCACGGTGGGGAGGTGCTGCTCCTGCCCAGCAGGCCTGGACACAGCAAGCACTCTTTGATATGGCCATAAAGTTGCCTGCTGGGCCATTATAGCCCCCTGGGTTCCACACCTGGGCAGACCCAGGCCCAGCCCTGCTCCCCCTGCAGAGCAGGGACTGACCTCGTTTGTGTAGCCAGCCCTCCTTCACAATTGCTACGTCGTTCATGGTATCCGTGGCCCCCACAGACCGGGGTAACCCAGGGATGCTCAGAGTGTCTTCTCAGCAGGCTGAGCCCAGCCGGCTTGGCCGCAGCGTCTAGAAGAAGCCAAGAAAGCATGTGAGGCAGGGTCCTGCTTGGGGTCAGCTTTAGTTAAGTCCCAGGACCCACAAATTACCCACATCCCCTCATGTGATCTACCCCCCTCTGGATCCCAGGTTCCCTCTTCACCCTTACCCTGCCAGCCTGACTGATTTATCTCCAAACACTACTGTATAAGACCCACATGCAGTAGAAGCCGCACGCAGATCCAGGCTCGACAGCCTAGGATGCAAGGCTGTGGCCAACCTCTACCTCCCTGGCCTCTGCTGGAATACTCCATCCCCAGACGGGGGATGTTCCTGACAGGCAGCTTGCTGAATTTGCTACCCCGGCAAACAGTCCACCTCCTCCAGGCAGCGCTGACTGCTTCTGCTCTGCCCCACACTAGTGAGGGTGTTTGTTTGCTGGTCTTGTCCTGCATTCTCACCAGCCTACAGTCTAGGACACCCAATGCAGAACACAGGGTTCCCATCTGCTCGGATTAGGAACACAGGAATGTAAACACTAAAAAGGCACAGGTAGAGCAGGTAATGGTATAAAGCAATGCGCCCAGAGACCTTCAGGGCAACACTAAAAACCTCCTCAGGCGAAACCCCAGATCCTCTCAAAATCAGCACCCTGTTCCTCTGAAGCTGCCTCATCCACTGGGGTAATGTGTACTAGGCTTCTATGGTTTTGCCAAGCGTTCACTCTCCTCTGAAGCTGCCTCATCCACTGGGCTAACGTGTACTAGGCATCTATGGTTTTGTCAAGGTCTTCACTCTATACCAGGGACAAAGAGACTTCCAGACAGCTTGCTGGTAAGGAGCATCCAGAGCAGGGTGGTTACAGCATTCAGCCCACACATGGGGCAGGCAACATACAAGACCTAGGGTCCTGCAGTGGCCCGCCAGCTAGCCTGTGTCAAAGCACACTCTGCCAGCTCATCTTACAAAGTTCCATTGCTTCTTGGCTGGAGAAACTCGTGGGCATCCCTCAAGCCCCAGTTCTTACATCCCCGAGTCTGGACACTCTGGGAAAGTGCCTTTGGGCACTTCTTTACCAGCAAGCCTGTGCTGTGGTCCCTCCACCTGGGGCTCCTGTGGACAGGCCCAGGAAAGACCAGAAGGCCACTGTGGAATAGACGCCAACTTGGGTCTACTACAGCTGACCTGGACAACCTCCTAGGTCACCTCTCTAGCCCAGAAGGCACAAGCTAGCACCCAGAGTCACTGCCACTTTGCCTTGACTGCAGCTAAATGTGGAACAAAAGGAAGACCCTGCTGCTGTGTGTCAAACGCCAAATGCCAGCGTAGTAAAGACCACACTGGCCAAGAAGGAGAACACCTTCCCCTCACCAAGCAGGTGGCAATGGAATGAAAAGCATAAGCCAAGAAGGAACCCCAGAGGATGACTGTCAGAGTGGGTGTGGCCTGGAGGCAGAGGGTTGGACTGCAAGACCTCTCTCTGGATGTCCCCCACCCCCACCCAAGGTCTGCTGATGACAGTCAGCTGTCCAGAGCCATGTAAAAATAAATTCATACGCACGGGGTGAAGAGACACAGCAATGTTAACCAATGTCCACATCAAGCAGCCCTGAGCATGGGACCTTCTCCCCCCCCCCCCCCCCCCCCCCCCCCCCCCCCCCCCGTGCCTCTGGAGGGCCTTGCCACAAGGGCATATGGTTGCTATTGTTAAGTCTTAAGAGTTCAACCCCTCTGGGACACTGGGCCCACACGCCCAGCTGGGGCCCCACCAAGGAGACTTGCCCTTCACTTGAGTGATGGCTCTAAGCAGTCAAGGCTAGCCACCTGGAGCAAGACCAGGGGCCTCGGGGAGGAGGAGTTTGGCCACAGAGCAGAGGAAGGTTCCACCACCACATAACTTAGAAACCAGTCCTCTTTACGACAAATCCATCAGCTCTACCAGTATCCCGGATCCCAGAGGCCGAGCCCATGCGTCCTCTAAGCCCCAGCCCCTCCAGAAACCACCTAGTCCAGGAAGCAGTTTCCGGGCCCAAGAAGGCTAGCAGTCTTTTGTGGGCTAGCCTGGGCACAGTGCCACCGCGCACAACTTTCTGTCCGTGGGAAATGAGTTCTCCTTCCCAGGGCCCTCCCACCACACGCAGGCCGCGGGGCGAGCCTTTCTCCTACCCTCGCTGGCCGAGTGCCCAGACAGCCCCAGGCCCCGGGGCGCACCGGCCCCCACTGCGCACACTAGCAGCGCCCCTCTCCCGCGGCCCGGCCCCGCGGGGCGGCCACCCAAGGTCACGCGGCGGCCGCCCGCACCCTCGCCGGCGTGGGCCTCCTGCGCGATCAGCCCGGCCCCGCGCGCTCCCCGCCCAGGCCTCCGCTCGGCCACTTCCTGCTCCGCTCGGAGGCGCGGCGCGGCCGGGAACAAAGCAGGGTGGCCGCGGCCCGGAACAGGGCGCGGCGCGGGCACTCACCGGGCCGCCGCGTGCGGGCGACGGGGCCTAGCCGGGCCGCGGCCTCGGGCGCCCGCCGCTCCGCATCCCGCGGGCGGGCGCTGGGCGGGGCCGGCTGGAGGCGGCGGCGGCCGGGCGCGCGCTGCTGGCCGGGTCTAGGCCGCCGCGGTGCCGGCCGCCGGGCGCTGCTCGGTCCGCTCCGCCTGTCCCGGACTCGCGTGCGCTGCCGCGCTGGGCCGGCCGCCCGCCGCCTCGGTGCTGCCGCCGCCGCCGCCGCCGGCCCGCCTTCTCCCCGCCCCGCGCCCGCGCCGCCCGCCCACATCCGCCTCCGCCGCCCCGGGCGCCCCCGGCGCGGCCCGCGGCCAGGGCGAGGCACCCCGTGAGCGCGAGCGCGGCCCCGCAGGCGCCGCCCTCGGGTGGCCCCAAGCCAGGGCCACGCGGGTAACGGAGCCCCGCCGCAGATCCGGGGCTCCAGCTCTGGCCTAGGTCCTCCGGTTTGTGAACGAGCTGGCACTTATCGGCCTAGCTCTGCAGACCCCACGGAGGCCGGCGTGGGGAGTGGATCAGTTTTGACTTTCTCAAGAGGCCCAACTGTCCCCATCTTGGGAGCCGGGAGAGACCGGCTGCACTGCCGACCACACTACACAAAAAGGAAGGCTACCGGGGGGGGGGGGGGGGGGGGGACGACATTCAACTCAGTACTGTCTGCCACAGAAGCTGACAGGGACCCTGCAGGTGACGGGGAGAAGGGGACACACCTGGACACCCAGAGGGGCCAGTGTGGTGTTGGGGACAGACTCAAGGGTAGGGCTCAGCCAGCCAAGACCTCGCTGAGGACTCAGATGGGCGAGGCACGGGGGAGGGCGGCGGCGGGGGCGGGGGGGCGGTTCCTTATGGTGTCCCGGAATTGAAGAGTCAAGGTGGCTCCGGCCTCTAACCAACCCATCCTCTCTTCTCCCCCTGAAGCCTGCCCCAGCAGTTCCTGCACAGAGCCCCTCCCTCATCCCTGAGGCCCAAACTGATGATAACCCGTTTGTGAGTTTACCTTCATGTGTTTGGTATTTTTTCCGAGGGGGCATTTTTTTTGTTTTTCATCCAAGGGTCAGAGTTCACCTGGAGTGTAAACAGGAGGGTAGATTTAGTCCACGCTGGCGCCCAGAACGGAGTCGCCGCCGCTACAATCGGCGCTCCGTCTCTGCCTCCGGGGCTGACCTAGGAAGCACGCCCTTCTTCAGGAGAACTCTCCTCTCAGCAGGGGACACACACTCAGGGGGCGGGGGGGGGTGGTGGTGGGGTCTGTTCTGGGCTCTTCCTGCAACACAGCTGCCAGAGCTCCGCGCACCTCCAGGGCGCTAAGTCAGAGGCCCAGCAGGTCTGTGCTGCTCCAGCTGTATCCCTGACCTGAGGGCTAACCCTCAGAGCCTGAGGGTCACACACATATCCATCACTCGCCCAGCAAACGTTCACCCTAGGCCCCCTGGCCCTCCTCCCCTGCTTCCCCAAACCCGGTGCTCCACAGGGCTGAGCAGGGGGGAGTGGCCACTGGGAGCCAGCAGGGCGCCCTCTTGTGGAAGACATCGCAATTCCAGGCTGTTCTCTACGGACTGATCTCTCCTGGGTGCTCTCTCTGGAAGCCACTGTGGCACTCCTACCTGTGGTTTCTATGCAGTGCCAAGTCCTGCCTTTCCTTCTTTGTGTGTCTACCTTCCCCTGTGTGCAGGGTCTGCCTGTGGACAGAGTGCGCAAAGTAACTCCCTCTTCTGGGCCCGCACTTGAGCAACACCCCTCTTGGGCCTCCTAGACAGAGCCACAGGGAGATGCACAACCCGGAGCCCTGCCTTACCGTGACTGTGTTTCCAACAAAACCTGCAGTCCCTGACCGGGCACACAGGTCTTCTTCCCTGTCACCTCCTGCAGCTTCAAGTGCCTGAGCCCTGAGTTAAGAGGTCTGGACCTTGAGGCAGCGCCCGGGTCAGATGGCACCCGAGAGCTGGAGAGGTTCTGGACTGGTTCTGGTTCTGTCGCCTGTATGCCACAGATCACTGGCCTGTGGAAAATGATCTTGGAGTGCCAGGTAGCAGAGCTCTCAGCACAGATGATAGACCAGCTTGAGCAGTATGGCGTGACCCCGCGGGTCTGCCAGATCTGTCTTTGTACTCTATAACTTCTCTGTCCTAAAAGCCATGTAGGGCCATGTAGGGCAAGCAAGGGGCCAGGCTTTGGGGCATTGCTAGATGCCCAACGTGGAGGAAGAGGGACAAGGGGGCCGGTTGGTGTCACCGTTCAACATCCAGCCATCACTTTCTCAAAAACCATTCTGTGGCAGGCCAAGGATGGAATTGGTGCACACAGAAGCCATGGCCCTGGTAAAGGGACAGGGATGTACTTGTCTGACAACCTTTGACTCTCTACACATGGCCAGATAGGTGTAGAGAATGGGTTGCAAGTCAGGAGGGACCAGGGAGGACCACTCTAGCTAAAGGGGTGACCTTCACTCAAAGACAGGAATGAGGAGCAGCCAGCGATGGATGGGGACTTTGGGAAAGAACATTCCAGAACTAAAGGTCTATCATCTTATAGCATATAATTCCCTAAAGTTAATTTTCATAGGTCCTAGAGTGTCCTCTGATTTCCATATTGTTAATGGGGATTATTAAGGCTACAGGGCAGTGATTCTCAACCTGTAGGTCTCGGAGTGACTCACAGGGGTCACCTAAGACCATCAGGAAACTCATATTTACATTATGATTTATAACAGTAGCAAAGTTACAGTTACGAAGTAGCAACAAAAGTAATCTTCTGGTTGGGGTCCCCACGACATGAGGACCTGTATTAAAGGGTTGCAGGATTAGGAAGGTTCAGAACCACTGCTGTTGGGGCTCAGAATCATACTAACCCTGGGAAGGGCTGAGGCAGAGGCAGGCTCCAGCCCAGGCAGGCTCAGAGAGGGTCAGTAGGGTCTGGGCTTACCCTGAATCCATGATGTAGGCCATTCTTGCTGAGGTAGAGTAGAGGACAGTCAGAGGAGGGAACTGCCCTCCTCAGGCAAGGCTCCTAGGCTGGGGACAGCCAAGCTCTGCTGCCCCTCAGCTGTACTGTGTCTGGATAAATGTAGTGTGACTCTAGATTCCTTACTGCAGTTGCCAGATTTAGGAAATAACTCATCTATCCCGTTAAATTTGCATTTCAGATACACTTTTTTTCCAGGACAGGGAGTTGAGACAGGGCCTTACCAGGTAGCTCAAGTTGGTCTAGAACTCAAAATACCCTGCTTTGGCCTCTGTTTAGTATAACAATGTAGTTTTCCCTGTAGAATCTAGGTCCTCCAGGGACCCTGGCAGCCCCTTAGTCTTCAACCCATCAGCTTTGAAGGCTCTCCCCAAGGCCAGGAGGCCCACCTCACACCTGGGTACTCTGTTTTGCATGTCTAAAGAGCAAGCTCCCTACACACGGAATGCCTTTGGCTATTCTACCCAAACACCTGATCTCTGTCCTGTCTACTGTAACCCAGCCCACTGGGGACACCCTACCCAGTACAAGACCTCCTTCCCACTTGCCTTCTAGCATTCTGGTGGTGCCCACCCATCATTCCTGGTCCCTGGGCTTCCAGCAAATGCAAGGTGAAAATTCAGAATGGGCCTAGCCCTGTAAGAACCCTGTCCCTGCAATTTAGTGCTATGAGGACCCTCCCTCCCCCTAGAACGGTAAATGAGAGCCTCTAATTGACAGGCTTATGAAGCCGACCCAAGCAATGTCTCAGTAACTTCAAATGCCCTCAGTCAAGGATGCCCCTTCACATACACCCTTGGGAGAGAAGACTTCCCAGGGATCAGTGCAGCCTCAACCCCTCCAAACCCAGAGCTCTTTTGTTCTTGCCATTTTCTTACCCCCAAAGAACCAGGTGTCTCCACTCATACCTTCCTGACCCTGATTCCCCCTGGAACATCCAACCCAGGGTGTCACCCCTCTAACACATCCTGTGACCTGACTGCCTAACTCTGGAGGTCTGCTGCTGCTCCTCTGTGGTTGTGTATCGTCCACCCACCCCACCACACCTGCCCTATCCAGTGCCCTCGGACACAGATCTTAGTGTGCTTGGCTGCCAGCTCAGGGTCTGCAGAGAGAGGTATTCTGTGTCAGAGACCCCAGCTCCGCAGCCTGTCCCAGCTACGTTAAGCTGAGCTCAAGAGAATGGTTCCTAGGAAGAAATGAATTCTTTTTAAGATTTGCGGTCTCCCGGTAAGCGCACTGACCCATGTGCATCCAAAAGGGGCCTGAGGCCATTGTCCTGGCTACGCCATCAGTGATTGTGGGTGCACTGGTCTAGGGAGAAGCGGACGCCTGGGAGGTGTCCCTTTGTCCACCGGGGCAGTAGGGACCCCATGGAGGGCACAGAGGCCCAGGAAACAAGTATCGCGAGAGGGTCCCGCACCCCCTCCCGCCACAGAGCGCGGGCTGGCTTCTAGCGGGACCGACCGGGTGGGGCAGACAGAGAAGGGGTAGCGAGGTGACCTCAGCGGTTCCGCAGCTCCGGGAAGTCGCCTGGCCCGCCCCCTCCTGCCCCAGCCGGGAGTTTCGCTCTCCGGGGCGGGGCGAGCAGCAGGCATTGCCCTGCCGGCCAAGTTGGTGAGCGCCCCGCCCGGCGCCGTCCGGGTCCCCGCGCCCTCCCGGCCGGGGCGCATCACTCGCAGCTCCGTGCGTTCCGAGCCGCACGGGAAAGCTTTGCAGTACGAGCAGATAGCAGCGCGTGCGGCGGAGGTGAGCGCAGGGGCGGGTTCCCGGCTCCGCCTGCCGCGCCGGCCGCTCCCCGCGGCCGCGCTGCCATAAATGGGGCCGACGGCAGCGGTGGCAGCTGGCGGCGGCGCGGGCGGGCGGCAACTCCGGCGTCGGGGGGCGCGGCAGGCAGGCGGGCGGGCGAGGCAGCTAGAAGTCCCGACTTCTGTCCGCTCGGCTCGGCCCCTCCGCTGCGCCCCGAGCCCCGCCCCGGCGGCAGAGCGGCTTCTGTTTACTTTCGATCGAGTTTTTCCTGCTCCGGGCAGGTGCCCGGGCAGCTCGGGGTTGGCGGTTGCGCGCGTCACTCCCGCGTCTCTCTGCGTGTTGCCTGCAGCCGGGAAGGGCGCGTCGGGGCTAGCGGCGGCCACGGCATCCCCGGCGTGTTGACAGGCGTCCCGTTTGTGCCCAGGTGATGACTGCGGCGGCATGGAGTTCCCGGAGCACGGCGTACGGCTGCTGGGCCGCCTGAGGCAGCAGCGCGAGCTGGGCTTCCTGTGCGACTGCACTGTCCTGGTGGGCGACGCGCGTTTCCCTGCGCACCGCGCTGTACTGGCCGCGTGCAGTGTCTACTTCCATCTCTTCTACAGGGACCAGCCCGCGAGCAGCCGCGACACGGTGCGACTCAACGGCGATATCGTCACGGTGCCCGCCTTCAGTCGCCTGCTGGACTTCATGTACGAGGGCCGCCTGGACCTGCACAGCCTGCCTGTCGAGGACGTCCTGGCTGCCGCCAGCTACCTACACATGTATGACATCGTCAAGGTTTGCAAGCGCAGGCTTAGGAAGAAAGACCCAGATCTGGAGACCCGCGCTCTGGGGACAGAGCTTCCTGGTCAGCCACCATACTCCCTGCCTTCCTGGTCCCCTGACTTCTGCCAAGCTGCACCAAAGGCCAAACCCCCATCTCTAGGAGTCAAGGCTGCTCATCCCCTGCCAACATTTGGACCTCCATCTTGGCAGGTCACAGGGGAGTCAAGTGGGGCCCTGGATCTGTCACTGAAGCCTGGTCCAAGACCAGAGCAGGTCCACCCATCCTGCATCCTCCAGACACCCCTCTGCAGCTCGATGCAGCAAGGGGCCCAGCCTCTGGTGAAGGCCGAGCAAGATTCATTCTCCGAACAAGATAGCAGCAGCCCTCAGAGCACCAACAGATCCCCACCACCAGTCTATGCGTCTGCAGCCCAAGGCCTGGCCGTGGACCTGGAGCCGCTGAACGTCCAAGGGACAGGCAGCCAGCAGCTTGGGCTGGATGCAGAGCCAGTGGTGGACAGTGAGGCGCTGGGTCCCAGCAGGCACCTTTGCATTTGTCCGCTGTGCTGCAAGCTGTTCCCTAGCACCCATGCACTGCAGCTGCATCTCAGTGCCCACTTCCGAGAGCGGGACAGCATCCGGGCCAGGCTCTCTCCAGAGGGGGCCGTGCCCACATGCCCGCTCTGCAGCAAGACCTTCTCTTGCACATACACCCTGAAGAGGCATGAACGGACACACTCTGGGGAGAAGCCCTATACATGCGTCCAGTGTGGCAAGAGCTTCCAGTACTCACACAACTTAAGCCGGCATGCTGTGGTCCACACGCGGGAGAAGCCCCATGCCTGCCGCTGGTGTGAGCGCCGATTCACACAGTCTGGGGACCTGTATCGCCATGTCCGCAAGTTCCACTATGGTCTCGTCAAGTCCTTGCTGGTGTGAAGTGTTCTTCTGTATCCCCAGGGTGGAGGAAGGGACAGGGCAGGGTCTCCTGAGTGGGACTCTGGGACAGAAGCAGCAGCCCAGGTGGGTGGAAGCCCTACCCCCAGGCTAGCAGGCTCCACCTGCCAACCTGAGTGGATGCTGCTGCTTTTTGGATGGGTTGCCTCCCCCTGCCCTTCACTCTGCACCTCATACCTGAGCCCAGGTTGTACCCTGCCCAGTTAGGGACACTGTGTTCTTCAGTGTCCTCTCCAGCAAGGTTCTAGGGGTGCCCATTTGCTGGGTCTGGGCTTCTCAGTGTGAGGTAACAGTCTTCCTCTGTCCCGGGGCTTCCCTGACTACCCTGCTGGGACACTTGAGAGTGTCCTTGTGCCATGGTAGAAAGACTCCCTTGTCAAGAAAGTCGCTAATGCAAGTCTAACAGGGGGCACTGAGTGAACAGGCCACTCCTGGTGAGTGGCAGCAGGGACTCCTGCTGAGAAGGCCTCAGGCACAACAAGTACCAGCAGGGGCCACAGAGACACAGCTGGCCCTGCAGGAGGCACAGCTCCAGCGGGGACCCGGGAGCATCCTGAGGGTGGCTAAAGCCGGGTGTGCCTCTGTGGCCCTGCAGTGACTGGTACTGGGGTGGAACAGGTGGGAATTTCGGGCAAAGAGGGGAAATTTGGAAGTGGATTCTTTTTATATCAAAAGAGCCTTTCAAGGCCACCATATGTCTGCTACTGGGTGAGGACCCTCCAAGTGTCCCCTACTGGGGACAAAGGGCTGGAAATGGCAGATCTTGCCATGAGCCATGCTTGGCATGTTGAAGTTAATGCTGTGTTCTAGCAGGCCTGACCCTGGGAGTCACTCTCCTGCTTTCTGCGGGTCTCCCTGGGGCTGTAGTCATTCCTAGGCACCAGACACAAGGCCCAAGCTTGTCCAGCTTAACAGGAGCGATGTTTGCTGTGCCACCTCCTGCTGTGGGGCACAGGTAGGAGCAGCTGTCACAGGGAGACAGGGGAGGCAGACCCCCCCTTCATCTGCAGCCTTGGAAGGAAGGCTGGCACCCTTGGAATGTGAAGGACTTGGTCCTCTGCCTTTGCAGTGGACATGGGCCACCTCACTTCGACCACTTGCTGTCCCAGAACCTGAAACCTGATGTTTTCAGGAAGGGGCTGTGGCAGGATGGGGGCCTCAACCTTGCCTCAGCGAGTGGTAGAGCTGCCTGAAACAGTCTGCCCTCTCCCAGCAGGGCTGTCTGATGACTGCAAGTGGCCCAGAGGACAGAGGTGGGCCAATCTAAATCATCGTGTCTTCTGCTAACACTTGATGTATTTATTTGTCTGCTTGCTCTGGAGTGACGTGACAGTTGGTCTCCTCAAGGTGGAGAGAACCATTGTTCATCTCCTAACCCTCTCTGTGCTCTCCTACTGTGTCCATGGCTGGCCTGGGAAGTTGGTGCCTGCCCGTGATGCTCCAAGACTGGAGGTCCGGGACAGGTTGCAGTCCTGAGGGCTGGAGAAGAGGCCAGGAGCTCCTGGCTTCTGACTCCACATTTTATTTATGACCTGAGGTCTCTCTCTCTCTCTCTCTCTCTCTCTCTCTGTGTGTGTGTGTGTGTGTGTGTGTGTGTGTGTCTGTGTCTGTGTGTGTGTCTGTGTATCTGCAGTACTACAAGTGAGCAGGCCGAGCACCGCTGTGTTGGTCTTCCCCGAGTGCCTGCTTTCCTGGGGCAGGGAATCTGCCCTGAGTCAACACTGGACTCATTGTCTCAGTGCAGTTACTGTGAAGCTAAGAAAGAATAAGTGACTGGTTGTAAGTTTATATATAACTGGCACCATTCAGGTGCCTGTATGCGTATGTCTGACACACTGCCTGTGTGGAGCGCACAGGACAGGTGTGTGCAGAGTCCAGGTGCATTCTGCTGCGTGGGGTTTCTAGGGCCAGCTACTGTCCCAGCCTGGGTCTCACTGCTGCTCTGCCCCTGGAGAGACCCCTGGGAAGCAACCACAGGACAACCCTTCTTCCCGCGCAGGTCTGGCTAGGGTCTGGCGAGGAGGTTTGCACAGCCCTGCTCGTGGTCAGCCTGCACCACGCCTAGAAATGAGTGCTGTCTTCCTATTTCACACCTTCTGGCGGTCACATGACTGGGTAATAAAGCCAACCACAGTGAAGATGGCTGTGGCTATTCTTGGGGTTGGGAAAGGTGGACATTGCTGGGCTAGGAAGTGGGGGTGATGTACAACCTGAGGACTCAGCCCACGAGGTACTTACTCACCCTGTGGGGTGAGTGGACTTCGACAGGCCTAGTGACAGGCACTTTCCCCAGGGAGGCAGAGTGATGTGAGGAAGGGGTAGGATCCAGGCTCTCTACCCCCTCCAAACCATCCAGACAAACCCAAATGTCTCTACTTTGGTCTCTTCTCCTTCCCCCCACATTCCCTTCACTCTTCTTTCAGGGTGGGCTAGACCAAGGGCTTTCTTGTTCCCCTCACTCCCTCTGGGCCCCTGTAGTGGGTGGCTGGGCTCCAGGCTGATGATTGGGGCCCCTGCCAGTTCCTCTACACCACCCTGTGCTAGCCATTGAATAGGAGTACAGATGTCCCCCTGGGCCCTCCAGGCTTTATCTGCCTTCTTACCAGGCCTTCGGGCAGGTGGAATGGAATGGCCTCAGCATGTGACATCAGCTTCATTCTGCTCGGGCCAAGTTCAGGGAAGCGGGGGAGCTGTGCTTGTCACAGGGGCCCTGAGGTCAGCCTAAGCTGGTACCGGAAAGGCCTGATAGTTCCTGGGCCAACTCCTGGGCCTTACCCAGTTTTGGCTGCAGATGTACGTCCTGGGAGGAGGTGGCTGGCCCTCCTCTGCCCCACACTCGCTCTGCCTCCCACCAAGCCTGGATGGGAGCCATTGTCCTGCAGGAGGCCCTGTCATGTTCCCAGTTGAGCCCATGACTCAGCCCAAGCTTCTTCCCGTCCAAGGGAGGCAGCTGCTGTTGCCACACCATGGGAAAGAGAAGAGGGGGTCTTGTCCCCTGGGAGGAGAGGCTTCCTGGGGCCCCTCTGGTCTGCTGGGTTTCACTAAGCTTCTTGCTCTATTCCTGGGCAGCATGGGCCTTTTGACACCCTCCCTGGAGGTATCCATCTTGACCTGTTGGCCAGATGGTAAATTGAGGCAGATAGAAAGGCTTGGCAGTATCCCAGAATTCCAGCCAATGGGCGACAAGTCCAGGACTAGCCTGCCTGCCCCAGCAGTGCCCAGTGCCTCAGCTCGGCAGAATGAGGAGCACAGAGCACAGTGGACTGGGGCCCCAGGGGACTGGCACCCAGCATGGCATCAAGAACAAGGCTGGAGGGAGTGGAGAGGTGTCCCAGAGTCTCCCCAGGAACCTGCAAGGGGACCACAATGCAAGGTTACCCCGAACAGTGGTGCAGGGGGTGAGAGGTGATGTGAGAAGTGGTTGTGGGAAGGTCAAAGCCTTGGGAAACAGGTTGGGTAGGGACCAGCTGCTGCATCCTCCACTTCCCTAGCTCTTGGCCTCAGAGGCACTGAGCCGTCCACCACACGACATCTACTTGGTCCCACCCCTTTCCGATAGACATCCTCAAGGAAGGTAGGATAAACACACCGTAGGTACCGTTCTACACTCGGCCTTCACAGGAGTGGAGGGACTGAGCATCAAGCCCCTCTGTGCCTCTGTCCTGGTCTTCTGTATCTATTCCCAACTCAGTCCCATTTTCTCTCCAGACAAGTCCAGCATGTTCAGTCATCATCACCACTCCCACCTCTGTATCCACACGCTTCTACCATCATCTCTACGTCTTCTGCTTCCACCCACATCACCTCCAGTGCTACCAGATCACTTCCACCGTTGTCCCCATCTCTACCACCTCCACCATCTGGCACTACCACCTTTACTACTACTTCCATCAATGCCCCAAGCTCCATTGCCTCCACCAACTCGAGCACTGCCACCAGCCTACCACTAGCACCGTCCCTTCCAGATCCTCCATCTGCCTCTCCAGTGTCTACAGCTCCCATCACCACCCTCCACCATCATCTCCCCCACTCTCCGTTGCTGCCTCACTGTTACCATCACTTCTGTCTCCTCTAGCACTACCGCCATCGTCTCATCACCACTACCGCTATTACCGTCTTCTCTAATCACTAATGCTACCACACTAGCCAGTATCACTTCCACCACTTGCATCTTCATTACCTCCACCACTCCATTATCTCCATAACCACCCTATTATTTCTACCACTATCCTGTCCAGCTGCTGCCGCCATCACCTCCGCATCCATCACTTCTCCCTTCACCTCTATCTCCCACTCCACCACTTCTGTCTCCCACTCCATCACCTCTATCTCCCACTCCATCACCTCCATCTCCCACTCCCATCACCTCCATCTCTCACTCCCATCACCTCTATCTCTCACTCCCACCACCTCTATCTCCCACTCCCATCACCTCTATCTCTCACTCCCATCACCTCTATCTCTCACTCCCACCACCTCTATCTCCCACTCCATCACCTCTATCTCCCACTCCATCACCTCTATCTCCCACTCCCTTCTCCTCTATCTCCCACTCCATCACCTCTATCTCCCACTCCCATCACCTCTATCTCCCACTCCCATCACCTCTATCTCTCACTCCCATCACCTCTATCTCTCACTCCCACCACCTCTATCTCCCACTCCCTTCTCCTCTATCTCCCACTCCATCACCTCTATCTCCCACTCCATCACCTCTATCTTTCACTCCCACCACCTCTAGTTCCCACTCCATCACATCTAGCTCCACCTTCACCTCCACCCCCACCACCTTCATTTCTTCCAGTACCATTTCCCTGGCTACCATCTTCACCATCATCCGACACCACCGCTACCCCACTTACGTCACCTCTATCATCGTGGCCATCACTGCCACCACCGCTCCCCCGTGACTGCCATCATCATGTTCACCACCTCTGCCCCCACCAGCAGCACCACCTTTAAGAAGGACCCGCTGACTTTAGGCCAGCAGCTTTTTTTTTTTTCAAGACAGGGTTTCTCTGTGTAGCTCTGGCTGTCCTGGAACTCACTCTGTAGACCAGGCTGGCCTCGAACTCAGAAATCTGCCTGCCTCTGCCTCCAGAGTCCTGGGATTAAAGGCGTGCATCACCACCACCCAGGTTAGGCCAGCAGTCTTAATAATCTGCAAGCTGAGAGGCAGTTGGAGGATGGAGTAGTCTCCATCCTATGTGGGGCTTTAGTACCTGTGTTTTGCTTCCCTGTCCTCCATGTTTTCTCTGAATCTCAGCTCCCACCCAACCCCTTCCCACACAGAAAGTTCGTCCATACCCCCCTGAAGCAGGCCTGTGCTTCTCCCCACGGATACTAACTATCACCCCTGGTACACGCTGTGAAGGAGGCCTCTCTCTGTCACAGTGACTTCCATGCCACAGGGGCCTCCTAGCTCGACCCATCAGGTTCTGTCCTGCCCCCTTGCCACCTCTCCAGTGTTCTCACTTGAAAGACATGACGGTGGCCCGCCACCTGTGCCTGGTGGGCATGGGGTGACAGTGAGCAGCCGGGCTGCTGCAGGTCAGAACACCCCAGGCTGAGGGCACTGGCACCGGGATCTGGGGCACACCAGACCAGACACGGCATTGGGTGTCCCAGGACCTGTGATGACAGTCGTCTGAAGAGCTCTGCTGTTGAGCATGCCCTGACTCAGTCCACCTCCTGTGAAAGCCACCTGTTCCCCTCCCCTCTCCTCCCCCACCGTGGACAGCCGTGGCATAAATGATGGGGTGACCTGCGGCTATAGTGGGGTTCAAGGGCTGCAGAGTTGCCTGATGTAGAGGGCTGGCAGTTGTGGGCTCTGGGCTGGCAGTATGCCAGAACCTCTGGGACAGGAAGGTGGCCCAGAGGCCCTGCAGCCACTGAGGACATCAGGCCAAATGCAGTGGTAGTCAGGCATGACTATTCACCTAGCTCCATGTGTGTGTACTAAGCGGCCCCTCAGATAAGTCAGTGGATCTCACTCCCTGAAACGGGATCCTACAGAAAGGAAAAGCTTACAGAGGCACTGGGCCTGTCGTTCTGTTCCTGTGTTGGTGTATTCACTGGCCCAGGCTGCCATGAGTCCAACAGACAGGGCTCTGAACAACAGACATGTTTTGCAGTCCCAGAGGCCAGAAGTCCTAGAGCAGGGACAGTAGAGTAGCCCTGAGACCTCTCTCCCTGTGCAGACTGAGTCTTCTGTGTCCAGAGTCATCCTTATGTACATGCCCTTTCTTAGAAGGACATATTCACATTGAACTAGGACCTACCCTAGTCATCTTTTTAACAGGCCTACCTCCAAAAACAGGTACCTAAGGTCCTGGTGGCTAGGACTTCAGCATGAATTTGAGGGGTGGGGGGCACAATTCTGTCTGCACACTTGGTGTTTCAGATCAGTGTGGGAGGAGGAGAACATGACCTGGAGTCACAGGTCCAGGCCCTCCCTGGCTCCGCTGGACTCACCTCCAGTAAGACTTATTGGTATTCTGCCAGAGTGCTGGGGCACGCCCACAGGCCACTGGGCACCAAAGGGAAGTGGGATATTTATCTCTTCCCCAAAATGGATCCCGGGTCTGGCCTCTCTGCCTGCCCACCCAACCTACCGTGGCTTGCTTGCCCATGTCCTGCATCTCAGGGCAGGTGACTAGGGTGTGTGGCGTGGAAGAGGCCTGGCATGCTCCTATCTGGACAGACCCCACCAGTCAGAGCAGGATGGTGGGGGGCCATCTCCAGCCTACACTGCTTCTCACCTCTGCCCTTTGTGCCCTGGAGGTGCACACTCCCCGAATGAACTATCCTGTCCTCATCCGATGAGGGGCCTGGCTCTCGGCACCCCACCCATTCCTTCTCCCGACCCCACAGCAGGTCCTCTCAGCCCGTGCAGCTCACCTGAACAGCCCCTCCTCCTGAAGTGGGATCTGGGCATCCTCCACTCCCAACACCAGTGGCCTGGTGCCAGCCTGTCGATCTTACCATCTTTTGCCACCTTTCTCCTCCCTCTCTTTTCCTCCTCAAGTGAGGTGCCACCACAACCCTGCCCCAGCCTGCCCCCAGGTTTCATGCCCCCACCCCCCACACAGAACCTGGCCAATTCAAAGTTCTAAGTGGTCCCAACATTTTCTCCAAA